TAACAGTTAGTTCTCTCTCTGCGCTCATAATTATCCAGATTCACCATCAGAAGAAGAAATGTTCATCGCCTCATTGGGCGTTTTATCTAAGGTGAAGGGAACTTATTGTGTGAATTCCAGTAGAGTTAGTTACATGTGAAGGAACGGGAATGGTAAAATAGCATAATGCAATTTTATCGATGTCGGATTACAGGAAGTTTTCCCGGAGAATGCGAGTGCCGTTTCTTAGTGCCTGTTTTAGGGATTTAATGTAATGTGCTCGGATTATTTTTATTCTGAGTATCAGGCTATTTCAACCCGGTGAGACTTCTGGAACACCCTGGTTTTGCAGGAGTACTCATTCTCAGGCCAAATGTTTGCTTTTTAATCATTGAACGTTGGTCATATAACGATGTCGAGGGTGTGGAGCAGTTATTTAATGTTTCATGAATGCCTGCTAAACAAATCAATGTTCTATGACTTTTTCATGTTTAATGAATAGGTTCTTATCCATTTCTATAAGTTTGAGACCATCTACGGAGTTAACGCAAGGTTTCGTTGACGCTGCTGATGTATTTATTTGGATAGTTTATTTTGCATGTGGTGTTGTGTGCTATGAAGAGAAGTCGAGATGATTGTAAGCCTCGAAGAACTATTAAAGTGTTTGGTAGAGTACAAAGATCACGTTCATTATCGCATAGCAACTGATTACAGTCAGCAAAATAGTTGGCCAACTAGCGCATAGTGTTTTGGTAAGTGCCGACAGAGTAAAGGATTGTTAGAAGTTTTCACGGTTCACCGTGTTAAATGTTCTACTGCAGCCCAAAAAAATTAAGTGAATTATGCAGCTGCAGCTTCGTAAAAATTATATAAACTGTTTTCTGTAATATGCCTAGGTATCTTGGTAATAAAATAGCAAGTAGTGCTTCTTGTTCGTTAAGTCGTAGCAGTAAACACCATGAGTTTAAGCAACCGTTTTTCACTGCTTATGCTGAAAGACGTTAATTATTGTATCGAAGAATGAAAATTCTTTTCAGATGCAGATCTGTCTATCTTTTTTATCAATGTTTCATGCTTGAACGCTGATCGATTTCGGCTGCGTTTAGGTTTTCAAATGAGAGGGCCATGGAATGAATGGTCTGTGTTTTGGAATTTATGTAACAGGTAACTTCCTTTTCTTTAATATCTGTGCCTGGAAGAAGGTATTAATATTTTCTGCATAGTCTAGCAATTTATTTGAGGTTCTGCTGAGCCAAGTTTAAGTTAGAATTGGCTTAACTAGCATTTACACGTTGAATACCTATTTTCAGCTGTAAATGACGAAGAAGAACAAAGGTCGGAAGAGGAAGGGAAAAGATCTGGATGAGATCTTCGATTTCATTGAGAAACAGGCCGCAGGCAAAAGGCCAAGAGTGGAACCGGATCCTGACTTGCCGGGCGAGGGCCTGTTTTACTGCAAGGAATGCGAGTACCTGTTCAGCAAATAAAATTTGCATACTAACAGTAATAACTAATGATCGTTTAGTCGTCATTTCATCACCAGGGAAGTTATGGAGAAGCATTTTGAAACAAAAGGACACAAACGAAGGTAATATTGAGTAATAAAATTACAGATATGCATTTATTGATAGTCTTAGGGCGAAGGAACTAAGAACAACAACAAAGTACACTCAAAAGGAGGCAGAACTTGCTGGAGGAGTTGGCTGACTGTGCCATAAATCTAATCGACCCTCTATTTTTGAGTTTTATAAATAAATTTTTTCGTCTTGTACATTTCATTTGCACTGAATGACTCACTTAAGGACAGACGGGTCCTAAAGCCAAGTAACAAACTGTTTGCACTAGATGATTTCGGAATGTAAGTTTTGCCGTTTCGTCAATGGTGAAAGTTTGCCATCTGCGAAGAGATTCTCCTGACCTTTCCGACCAGCAGTATTTTATTAAATGAATCAGCTGATATCCGGTTAAGTGATCCGTTTGGATGTGGTTTTTACCATATCATTGAGTTTTCTTGGGTCCCTCATGGATTTTGCAATTTTCGGAATTAGGAGTTATTGAGGTCGCTAATCCTGTATCATCTTACTTCGGACAGCGATTCAGGCACTAAAGTTTAAATTTTACCTAGTAGATGTGTTAAAAAGGTCAGCGTACAAGTGGGCCGAAGAAAGTTAGTAACCTGTTAAATTTTTAAATGAGTCAGTCAGATGACGAATGACTTCTCCGAGACCAGATATCACGTCGTATTGCACCGACCCACTTCTCCTAGTTGCCTTATGGGGGGGGGGGGCAGGGCATTTTAGCAGCCCACGTTCATGGTATCTGAGCACTTGCAGTACCAGATGCATCTCGCAACATTTTCTCGCTGTCCGTATTTCATCATTCTCACGAACTACATTACTGAAACTAGTACCCCTTGTCCAGAAATCTGATCTTGTAGGGGTCATCTGTTATTTGACATTTCCAGGTGTCCGAACAACTTATGATGTTTCTGGGTTAGAATACGAAGATATCAGCTCCTCTAAACGTCCTACCTGATAAGCGCGAGATGGCTCAAAGAGGAAAAAATAATGCGATGTGTCTGGTACTGCAGAGGCTCAAGTATTATTGAGCCGTTGCCTGCTTAAATGCCCTCCCTCCCGCCAAAGCAACTAGAAGCAAGGGGGCGATGCAGTACGCCTTGAAATTTGATCACAGAAGATTCAGTCCTTCTTTGACATATTTTAGCGCCTTCTTTGACATATTTTGGCGTACAGGCAGCCTATGCGGTAGACTAGTAAGTCGACAACGACCCGTAATAAGCTTCTGAAAATTCTTTCTTCCTGAATAAGTTACTTCCAGAGTGGTAACTCATTCAGTATAGACTGAAATTAATTCGTAATTCAGTCCATACCGATAATTTGCTTTCAGTCCAGAGTGGTAACGATTTTCAGTGCATTCCTCCCTAAGCCTCAGCCAACATAAAAACCACGGCCTCAACTTAAACATGCAGACAGCAATGCTGCAGTTAATATATAAGTTTAGGCTTAATAATAATCTTGTAATACGGCTGTATTACCGGCTTAAATTGAACAGCACATTCGTTTCTGCCTATACTGGCATGGACGGTAACATAAATACACCATCACTAGCGATACCTGACCGCGACGTTTCAATTTCGAAGTATTTGGAACAAATAAGTTTTCAGCAATTTTAGCAAAGATATAGTGTAAGTGTATAAACTAAGTCGATATGTTCATTAACAGTTTTTGAGGTAGTTATAATTCACTGTTATAATGGGCATATTTTGAAACAGCTAGCGACTTGCTAGATAACTGCCATATCTAAATTGCATGGTGCTTCTCATCAGCGGATGGATGATTCAATATTAGCTGTTTCGTTAGTGTTGAGGTTGTAGACAGTATCTGAACCATTATGAATGAAAAACAGCACAAGCAAGTCTTCGACTGAAGAAACTGAAGTAGGGGTGGGGTTGTCACGTCCCAGTCGATCTTAACTGGGCCAGAAAAACATTACAATGGGTTCCAAGGGAGGAAACTACCTGTAGGAAGATCTTTCGATGAATGACAGGATGATCTGAAATACACTGCATCAGAATGGATACAAATTGCAAAGTCTATGGTGAGGCTCATTATATTATTTGATTCAAAAATCTGTAATATGCTAAGGCATTTAATTTTTTTAAACGCTTTTACGTTTATTTATTCTATTATTTTGGAGTCTAACCAGTATTTCGTAAACCCAGCTTCTAAACTGTACTAGATATCTCGAACAACCTTAAAAAATATCTTACCTAACATGAATGCTTTCTTAACTTGTAGATTAACTGCAAACATTTTATTTTAAAATACCTTTCTAAGAATGGCGAAATGGAAGGATAAGCTAAAAGAGCCGATTTGTTATTAAATCGTTTTTTTGATTTACTGAGTTTGACAAAGGTTTCAGAACTTTTCAGGATACGCGTTCTAAAAATCGAAATCCTGCATGTTCATTTTTTATTTATTTCCCAGTGATGCTACAACTTTTCTACACATGGACAGATAATCTTTAGTAAAGGTGGTTTTAAATTAGTTTTATTATTCAAGAAGAAATTTAATCCATACACGCCATGAAAGTATTTTTAAATAAATATCAGAGCCGATTAATGACAGGTAGTGAATTACGCCTTGGAAGTAGGACGTTTGTTACGCACTGAAAGTAATGACCGCGATTTGGGCACTTAGTTGCAGGGTGTTACCAGAGTCATGTGGCTGATGAAGATTCGGTCATTGGCCTTGTAAGACGCAGAAAAAGTTTCTTCTAGATAATTATTTGTATACATGAGCATCGACAAAAAATCACAAACATTCGCCCAACATAGCCTGAAGATCATTCAGAAATGTTTGTCGGTCGAATTTTGTTATGTCCCTATTTCCAAGAAACGACGAGAATTCTCATTCCGCTCCTTTTCTGCGAGCGATTAATCATCGTCTTCCTCATCACTTTCCTCAATAACTTTGGCTCTCCTTTTCGGCTTATCATCCGTCTCTTCTTCATCCTCGTCATCGCTATCCAATCTTTTAGTGTGTTCTAACTTCTGCCTCGTTGATTCATCTGATTCGTCGCTTTCAGCACCGGAATGGTCACCGGCATGTTGAGACTGAATGTATTGTTTGGCACCCGTTTTAAAACGCCGCTTAATAGCAGAAATCGAAACAGCCCCTTCATCCTCTTCTGATTCATCGCGATCAGCTTCAAGGTAGTTTGCAGACAAACCACGCATGTGGGATCTTTCCTTCAGTCGTCTCTGTTGAGATTCCTTTCTTGCACTAGCCCGAAGGCGCTCTTCTTCTTTCTGCCGAATCATTGGATTAACTAACCAGTTAAGCAACAAACAATTAAGCACTAACCTTGAGAAGTACTTGCTTCTGCGTTTCTGGGTCCGTGCCCACCACTGACAACACCTTGACCTTCTGCGTTTTGTTGTTTCGATCTGCCATACTGAGCGTCATTTTCCTGTGGGTGAAACTTTCGATAGAGTGCGGCCGGAAGGTTAGCTTTGTTCGAAAGAGGGCCCTGCCCTGTAGTCCTGTTCCTTGTCGGATAAACAGATGATGATGGTCGCCTTGAAGTGGGTGCAGATGCACGTCGAACACTTCCGAACCAAGATACAGCGACATACTAAAATGTCGCGTGTGTTTAATCGTATGGCAAGAGCTAATTTAAAGTTGTTTATAACCAGATTTATGTGAAAATGTTCCTCGCTCAGCAAACGGAGATTAAAGCTCAAGTCGGAAAAGGGTACGTTTTAAGTCGTTCGTCTCTGTACGTAATTCCTTAAAACATGCTGCTTAGGTGTTCATTCTCGCCGATAATACTTATTAACTTCGGTTCCCTTTTTTGACTTCAAGGGTAAAGGAAAATTTTGTTTTTATGTATACAATTCATTTACTCGATTTAAATTTTCTAAAAGGAGAAAATTCTTCTGCGGACAATGGCTTTTATTATACTTTCGGTAAAAATTCAAGCTATCTCTCTATTTATGAAGGCTATATTTAAGGAATTTAACTGATGGCCAGACGTATTTATTCTTTTATGGATTGGCCGCTGTTAAAGAATATGTAAATCTTCATGTTGTATGTATAATATTACGCACGAAAATACGATTTTACTAAGAACAGTTAAGATTCACTAATGATGGTGAGAATAACAAACATTTGTCATT